TATAGCCTACTGTTTTCTAGAAATCTGGCATTTTTTCGGGTTCGGGCTCATTTAATTTCTGTAATGTCGGACCAGGACTCGGGCTTTCAGCTCACCCGGCTTGGGTCAGACCAGATCGATTTTTCAGTTCTGATGAGAACTTTAAACTGCATTCGGGTCTCTTGTGCAGTCCGTCAATGTCAATTATGCGTGTGCTTTGTATTTATGGCGACTTTGTGTGAAGTAAATATGCTAGGCTTAAGGCTTCCATGTGACAACAGACAATCTGTTTGAATTTTTTGCCAATCTGCTGCTGCACATGTTGTGTATTTTGTGGAATTGCATTAGTGCGACATTGAGGGAAAATGTTGTAATCTCCTGGGTCTTGCTTGTCATTGAATATTTTCGGGAAATTTGAAGAGTGGTCCCAGGACAGTATGTAGTATGTTCTGAAAAAACATGACTTCATATTTTGACGTATATGCTTGTCAAAAACATAACTTCATATTTTGTAGTATATGCTCGGCAAAACATGACTTAATACTATGTAGTATGCTATCTGAAGTAAATGCCTGCTTTTAAACTGCCATTTGTCTGTCTCTTCCCAGGATGCTGCTCTGGATTGGGATTTGAAACTTTGTTTGTGGCCATGCAACTCTTTGATTGGTGAGCGCAGTTAAGGACTGCCTGCTGATGACCTAGGTACAGTCCGTTGTTAACAGCCTGTTAGTTATAATAGTACTACTATTAGTCAATTCTTTAAAGAATACTTCACCACTTTTCAACATCAAATTCATAGGACATTGACCTTGGCTTCATCACTGCCGACAGATGTATAATCTGACAACTCCTCCATAAAGTTAGCTAATCATAGGCAAGAGTATGCACACATAGCTGCCAATCAAGTTACACTGGCCAAGTGACAACTTTATCTTGCCTCTATGGCTTGACAGGCAAACGCAAAAGTTAAGACAAGTAAACTAATTACTGACACCACTATAATACATGGTAATGCATTTGGTGAGGTAGGTATATAAAGACTTACTGTCTGCTTCTTGCAATTCATTAGTTTGGACTTTATATCAAATGATTGTTCAATCAATTGCTTACACGTAGTTGGTTGGGGTCACTATAATGAAATAGCAAATAAAGTCACAGAAAAACAAATATGCAATGTGTATAAATGGTTGAAAGTGATCAGCAGTAATGGGCAGTCACTACCATCACAGGGCTTTTATTAATTGTTTTATTCTGTGTTGATACAGTATTCAACCCACATAATGCATTTATTGTACATATCGAAAACCTACTCTGTGTCTATGTCCTAATTTTCTTTCTAAGTTCCTTTTTTGTCTTGCTTTCTTGCTTTGTGGGTGTTTTTCATGTGTGTCAGCAGAGAAGCCTTCTTAGTGAATCTTTTACCACAGACTGAGCAGCCATGTTGTTTCTCTCCTGTGTGAGTCAGTTTATGAACAGTTAGGTTCCCCTTGGCACTGAAGCTTTTCCCACAGTCACCACAGCTAAATGGTTTCTCTCCTGTGTGACTCCGAACATGATCTGTTAGGTTATCCTTACGACGAAAGCTTTTCCCACAGTCACCACAAATGAATGGTTTCTCTTCTGTGTGAGTCAGTATGTGCCTACTTAGGTCCCCCTTCTGACTGAAGCTTTTCCCACAGTCACCACAGCTAAAAGATTTCTCTCCAGTGTGTGTCAGTGTATGCTTGGTTAGGTTCTCCTTGAGACTGAAGCTTTTCCCACAGTCACGACAGCTAAATGGTTTCTCTCCTGTGTGAGTCCGTATATGCTTATTTAGGTCTCCCTTCTGACTGAAGCTTTTTCCACAGTCACCACAGTGGAATGATTTCTCTCCTGTGTGAATCCTCATGTGCCTGGACATATCTTTTTTGTATTTGAAGGTCTTGCCACAAACAGGACAAGTGCAGGGTTTCCCACCGTGACAGAGTCTGACATGGGCCTTCAGTGTACAGGTGGAGTTATAGCATTTATTGCAGAAGCGGCATTCACTGAGTCTTTTCTTGGCTAGAGTCACATGCCTCTGCAGGTCAGCTTTCAGAGCAAACGCTTCACCACAGTCACGGCAGCAGTGAGTTTTTCTAGACGTGGTGTTGAGCTTCAAACAATGTTCCCCCATTGATGGGTTTGGAACAAATGGTGAGCTGGGATCCAATGGTGGGGTGCCGTCAAGTCCTTCTGGGTCGCTGCTTATGGCTGAGTTGTGGCTGGAGGCATTGTTTTGATTATATGGCGTGTCACAGGAAGTGTCTAGACCCTTTAGGTAAATCACAGTGCCAGAAGGTTTGAGATCCACTGGTTTAGAGTAACCCTCTCTGTTCTCCACAGTCTGGGTTTGGGGAGGAGTCAAGGACCAAAGTGGATCCTCCTGATCACATTCACTTTTCACACAGGGAGGAGTGAATATGGAGTGACTGGTCCGGAGTTCCTCCTGTTCCTCTTTAATCTGTGTGGGCTCTGGGTGCTCCTGCCCCAGACTGGAGCTCCACTCCTGCTCACAGTGCTGCTGCTCAGGGGGAACCTCCTCTTCAGAGACAGCGAGAGAGGACTGGAGGGAGTCTGGAGGGAAGGAGAGGAGGTCATCTATATACCACAGAATTAAATCGAACACTTGAAGTGTATATATCTCTATGATATACAGTCACTAGTGAAAGTCTACACACCCCTTGCAGTTTTCAAATTTTGATGCCTTGAAATTGAATCCGAAAAGGGAATACATTCGATTTTTGTTTTTACTACCGATATACACAACCTACTCCACATTTTGAAAATGAAAGAAAAATTATATAACATTTTCCAAATTAATAAAACATTAAGATGCGCATGTCTTGACATTGAAGGTTTAATACTTGGTGGAAGCATCTTTGGCAGCCATTACAGCTATGAATAAGATTCTACCAACTTTGCATAACTCTTAGGGCAATATATATCTATTGTTTCTGTCAAAATTGCTCAAGCTCAGTAAATTTTGTTTGGGAATCATTGATGGACAGCAATATTCAAACCTTGTCTCTGATTTTCAAGCAGATTTAAGTCAGGACTGAGACTGGACAATTCAGGAACACTCATCACCTCTTGGAAAGTCATTCTGTTGTCTTTGGCATTCAAATTTGTTTAATTGTCCCACTGAAAAATAAAAATCTCTATCCCAGGCTTAGGTTTTCGGAAGACTACAGCGGGTTTTCCTCCAACTTTTTAACTGGGCTTTGCTCCTTTCATATTTATTTTGATTCTGACAAACTACCCAGTCTGTGCCGGTGACATGCATACCCATAACAAGCATACCCCACCACAAGACTTGAAAATACTGAGGGTTTCAATCTGTGTTGTGTTATATTGTATTTGACCCAAACTGTACTTTTTAATTTGGGCCAAAAAGGTTAATTTCTTTGACATGTTGTTTTACAGTATTAAAGGCCTTGTTGCAAAAAGAATGGATGATTTGGAGCTGATTTTTTAAACACAGGCTTTCTTACATTCATTTACTCATACAGTCCAGTAATGTGGAGTGAATGCAATGTTGTTGATCCTGTGTATTTTCAAGTATTGTGGTGGGTATGCTTGTCATTGGCAGGGGACTGGGGAGTTTGTCAGGATCAAAATACATTTGAAAGTAGCAAAGCCCAGGTTTAAAGTTAAAGGAAAACCCGCCAACAATTTGGAAAATTGTTTATACTTTTCTTTCCTTGGAATAGGTTGTGTAGATCTGTAGGGGAAAAAATCTAATGTAATCCCTTTTTAGATTTAATTTTAAGGCAGCAAAATGTGTAGACTTTCACTAGCGACTGTATATCATAGAGGAAGGTGAAGACTGAATGTGGTGTGTAGACTCACTAGGCACTGTATACAGCCTTTATACATGTCTGAGTGAAGATATCTAGCTATTTGCTCTCATTCACACAAGCCATATAGGGCTTGGGTTCTCACTCCTATTGTCTACTATGAAACACACCGAAGCCAATGTGTACGAAAGTCCCAACACTCTCTGACCATTAATAGTACTCACTTTCAATACGGTTTTGGAAACCTTAAAAACGTTACTTTCATATCACCCAAAAATTATTTTAACAAATACAAAAGATGGTGTTTTCCATTGCACATTTACCTGAACTATGATGCTTCCTTAGCAAATGGAAAGAAGGGAAGTAAAAATATATATATTTATCACCTCAAAGCTGTGTTAAACAAAAAACGGTCAATCTGTGGTAAAACAGCTAACAAAGTATATTTTGTATTTGTAAAGTTATTTTGGATTATTATTAAGTTGAGTGTTCAAGGTTTCCAAAACCGTATCGCAATCAATGATCAATTGTTTCTAGATAAAGCGTTTCACACTTCATCAAATCATCATCCTCAGCTAATCAAAAGGCAGGGATGTTTCTGGATCAAAAAGGGGCTTAGGTGTTGGGTGTGGCAGGGGGCGCGGTCGGCCCGTCAGCGCGACTACATTTTAGAGGCCCCCATCTTGGCGGTGTAGAGAAATGTTTGCATTTCTAAGCTAATTTCCTGCAATTCTACACATTTTGCCATGTAGCTGAGAGAAAGTGTAGCAGTTTAAAAGAAAATATCCTGCAATTCTACATATTCTTTGCAGTTTTAAAGCTAGTTTCCTAGAGCCCAAATTTCTTTATTTAAAAAACATAAAACACTTTGGATTTAGGAGACCCGCCCAAGGATTACAATGGCAGAAAAATCCCTGAGGGACCTTGAATAACTCCAATGTAGCATTGGAATCAGAAGGGCAACATAAGGACCAACTTTCTGGAAGTAAAAATGTAATTGTATTCAACATTTGTCAATGGAAAAATGTGTGACGCTGCTGTCCAAGCGAGGGAAAGCATTGGCACGTGGGTGCTACTTTTATCCATTCACGGTAAAAGTAAAAACTACTTTTAATTTTTTTGAAATTGTGATCACTGAAAGCCTAAACAGTTTATTAATTGAGTAGAACTGTAGCTAGATATTGATAGATCTACATACAAACCTATTCTACATAATTTTATCTCTGGGGTGAGCCGCAGCAGTCTCCGTAGGCGATCATTCTCCTCCTGGTACTTCTCTACCGTTTTCTCAACTGCCCCAAAAATCTCCACAGCAGCAGACGCCATTAAACGCTCATTTAAAAACACACTAAATGACTGTAGTTTAGACATTTTCAGTAGACTGAGAGTTGGGTATTCAGCTAGTATGGCTTCTTGACTTGGGCCCTCCTGATCACATTCACTTTTCACACAGGAAGGCGTGAATATGGAGTCTTTGGTATCAAAGAGCCGAAGCTGCTCTTCCTTCTGACTGGTCCTGAGTTCCTCCTGTTCCTCTTTAATCTGTGTGGGCTCTGGGTGCCTCCTGCCCCAGACTGGAGCTCCACTCCTGCTCACAGTGCTGCTGCTCAGGGGGAACCTCCTCTTCAGAGACAGCAAGAGAGGACTGGAGGGAGTCTGGAGGGTAGGAGAGGAGGAACAGAGGTTATCTATATAAAGTGACTGCATTCCGTTTGGCCTAAGGCGAAGTCGGCTCAAAAGAACAGTGACATGGGAGCACGTGGAGTAAAGCGCAATTCAGAGTCCAAAGCCGTAGAGCCGCGATAGTACTCCATTGTGACATATGTCCTGCTCTGTCACCACTGTGCCCCAACCAACACGACTCCCCTTACACGGCTCCTATTCATTTTATTAATGTGGTGACAGTTGGAGAAATTGCTTGAGCTGCGCTGAGAATTCGAGCCAACAGATCCATATTCTAGAACACTGCTGTGTGGACGCGAACATCTTTTGGACTCTCTGCTTAATGAGTAGGATTCTGTGTTTTCACATGCTAAAGTGATTTATTTTTGATAAAAACGCTTTACCTGCCTTCCCAATGAAAACGAGTTTTACATTTATTAATCATGCTGCATTGTTGACAATATGACCGAGCAGCGCAGATTAGGCTACTGTTTGATTTGAGCAGGGTGCGCCTCCCTCACCGGCTTCGCCTAGTCACGTGAAGGTCCATAGCTTAATCGAATCCCCCTCAATAATAAGACACTGCAGTGCCTTCCAGTGAATCATTAAAGTAGTATCGGCAAGTAAAGGTTGGTTGAAAATGTGCCACGCTTTGAATGGACCCAAGTTACAACAGGGTATGCAAATACAGATTACATTATTGCATATCGACAGTTGCAAATCTGAAGCTATGATCTAATATTGCCGAGTACCTCAACTCCATTGAGTTGAGAGCAGAGTTGAGTTTTTTTAATTAACCTCTGTCTCCCCATGCGTCGACACTTCAAAAAAGTATCTTAAACCCTTACCGTGTACCTATGTTTGTACTCTGTTGTTGTGGTACTTTCTTTGTTTGCTGAAATGCATACTTTTTAATAAAATGTAGTTAAATACAACCACCGACTCTTTCCTCATTGCGGTTGCTCTAAGGCAACTCAGAGCGAATGCTCGTGCCAATACAATCCACAAGGAAACAGTCGGTGGTTCTATTTGATTAACGTTTTATAAAAAAAATTATGGATTTCAGCAATCAAAGAAAAGCACGCAGCAACAGAGGACAAACATCGGAACATGGTAAGGGTTTAAGAATGTAAATTGTTGAAGTACCGACGCAAATAGCGACTCTGTGGAGGAGTTGAGGTAACGTTACTCAGCAAGATCTAATACAGCCTTTAGTCATAACTGATTGCAGACAAATGTAATGTTATGCTATTTCAAACAGCTTTTCGTGTCAGACTACTTTTTAATCCATTCACGGTGAAAGTTAGTAGATAACTGTTTTTAAAAAAAGTAAATGAAATAATGATCACCGTTAGCCTAAACAGTGTATTAATTGAGCAGAATTATAGCTAGCTAGTAGACCTACATACGAACCTATACATAGTTTTATCTCTGGCGTGATCCGCAGCATTCTTCGTAGCCGATCATTTTCCTCCTGGTACTCCACTACTGTTTTCTCAACTGCCCCGAAAATCTCCAGAGCTGCCGCCGTTAAACGCTCATCTAAAAACACACTAAACGACTGTAGTTTAGACATATTTCAGTCGACTGAGAGTTTGGAATTCAGACAGTATGCCTTCATCAAAGAGGATTGAAACGTAACAAACTCGCTTTGCCTTTTACTGCCGCATTTTCTTCTTCTTATCTTTGTATCAGCTTGTGGCGAGCCCATAATCAGAGCACAGCGATCCATGTGGATGGGGTTTTACTGCACGGTACAGACACGTTATAACTACATTTTACATTTACATTTTAGTCATTTAGCAGACGCTCGTATCCAGAGCGACTTACAGTTAGTGAGTGCATACATTTTTTTTTCTTCATACTGGTCCCCCGTGGGAAACGAACCCACAACCCTGGCGTTGCAAACGGCATGCTCTACCAACTGACCTAAACGGGACTGTAGCTAAACCAGAGAACTCAGTCACAGTATCAGAAGAAATGATGAAGAATGTGAAATAATTGGGACTAGAAAAACCCTGCAGTGCCCTTAAAACAGAGTGTGCATGTATACAAAGTGCACTCAAAAGATTCAAACTATATCATTAATTAAATGATATTAAGCATTAGGTTGAAATTTATGAGAAATACTCTTGGACAAATGAAAGCAGACCTTTTTTGGAAAGTACAGATTTTTTTATATATATCAATAACATCAGTCTAACCATTCTATCATCACCCTGAGAAACATTCCAAAACAAACGACCAGGAATTCCTGTTTCTAAGAACATGAAAACATCAATTGACTTTGAAAGGCAGACCTGTGAGTTTCCTACAATACTCTGTACTGTTCGAGCATTATCCCATCATTCAAATTAATCAAACTTCCTTTACATATAATGTTTTACAAAAGCAAATCTATCACACACGTATATTTCTCTGAAACCCGCAGAATGAATGATCAAGAGTTGCTTTGCTTTCCTGAGAGTGTTGTCCACATCCTGCCTTTTTATTCCCATCTTCTGACAGATCACTTTGTCCTAATTTATTTATTCTTTCAGTTTTCATCCTGTTTTCATTATTCACATGCTTCCACAGATAAGCCTTATGGGTTCATCTTCAGCCACAGACTGAGCATCCATGTTGTTTATCTCCTGTGTGAGTCAGTATATGATCAGTTAAGGTCTGCTTGTGACTGAAGCTTTTCCCGTAGTCACCACAGCTAAATGGTTTCTCTCCTATGTGAATATGTTTGTGCTTGGATAGTGCACAAACTGACTCACACAGGAGAGAAACCATTTAGCTGTGGTGACTTAGGGAAAAGTTTGTATTGCAAGCATTCCCTAACCAGGCATGAACTGACTCACACAGGAGATACACTTTTTTTTAGCTGTGGTGACTGTGGGTAAAGCTTCAGTCTCAAGCAGCACCTAACCAGGTATAAACTCACTCACAAACGAGAGAAACCATTTAGCTGTGGTGACTGGGAAAAGCTTTCAGTCAGAATGGAGACCTAGGTAAGCAAATACTGATTCACGAAGGGAATAAATAAATTCGCTGTGGTGACTGCGGGAAAAGCTTTAATCGGAAGTGGAACCGAACCAAGCACAAACTTACTCACATGGGAGAGAAACCATTTAACTGAGGTGACTGCGGGAAAAGCTTCAGTCACAAGCAGACCTTAACTGATCATATATTGACTCACACAGGAGAGAAAAAACATGGTTGCTCAGTCTGTGGCTTAAGATGAACTCATAAGGCTTATCTGTGGAAGCATGTGAATGCATGTTTTTTTTATTAATTTTTTACAAACGACAACATACAGACGCACCCACACATCCCCAACGTCACCCCTGCTCACACCCCCATCTCCAGCGCCCACATCATTCTCCGCAACTTGGCCTCAAACTGCACCATTTACTTTTTATCCGTTGCCTACACACTTTCAACATTTAGATAGATAATCAAGCATTTGACCATTGTGTTAACAATGGAGGATTTGTTGATTTCCAGTTTTTAAGTATATACGTTTTTTCAAGATGATTGAAGAGGAAAGTATCGTCCAACCCATCAGATATCTCACTGATTCTCCATATGCCATGTCTTGAAATATACAGACAGTGTGATGAGGTGGTGTTGAAGAAGTCAGGCGCAGGAGGGTAAATCACAGAATAATAGGCTTTAATCCGCAAAATACAGGATTACGTAGAAAAGCGTCAAACACACTCCAGGGCACAAAACAGGCACACTGGAAAATACAAGGCACACGGGAGAATACTCCCGTCGAAACACAATACACAAGCTCCACCGAGCTACACAAACCTCCACAATAAACAATCACCCACAAGGACAAGGGGGCAGAGGGAACACTTATACACAGACTAATTAGGGGAATAGAAGCAGGTGTGTGTGATTGACAAGACAATTGTGATGATTGGGGCGGCAGTGGTTAGTACTCCGGTGACCACGAACGCCGAAGCCTGCCCGAACAAGGAGGGGAGGCAGCCTCGGCGGAAGTCGTGATAGTACCTCCCCCTTGACGCGCGGCTCCAGCAGCGCGCCGACCCCGGCCTCGGGAACGCACAGGGGCGGAGCTTGGGTGGCGTACCCGAGGATTCAGCCTCCTCTGGTGCCACAGTGCCAGAACCGGTTGGTAACCTAGAATACACTGGAAAGGCGTTAGGTTAGTGGAGGAGTGGCGGAGAGAGTTCTGGGTATATTCTGCCCATGGCAAGAACACCGACCACTCCCCCGGCCGGTCCTGGCAGTAGGACCGCAGGAACCTACCCACGTCCTGATTTACCCATTCCACCTGCCCATTACTCTTGGGGTGGAACCCAGAGGTCAGGCTGACCGAGACCCCCAGACGTTCCATGAACGCCTTCCAGACCTTGGACGTGAACTGGGGACCTCGGTCAGACACTATATCCTCTGGTACCCCGTAGTGCCGGAAGATGTGTGTAAACAGAGCTTCCGCAGTTTGCAGAGCCGTGGGGAGACTGGGCAGAGGAAGGAGGCGGCAGGCTTTAGAAAAGCGGTCTACAATGACCAGGATCGTGGTGTTATCTTGGGAGAGAGGAAGATCAGTTAGAAAATCAACACTCAGGTGAGACCATGGTCATTGTGGAACTGGTAAAGGTTGTAACTTACCAGCTGGGAAGTGCTTAGGTGCCTTACTCTGGGCACACACTGAGCAGGAGGAGACATACACCCTCACATCCTTAGCCAAGGTAGGCCACCAGTATTTTCCGGTCAGGCAGCGCACAGTACGGCCGATACCTGGGTGACCAGAGGAGGGTGACGTGTGTGCCCAGTAGATCAGACGATCACGGATAAGAGCAGGCACGTACTGTAGCCTATCTGGACACTGAGGTGGAGAGGGATCCGTGCGTAATGCCTGCTCTATATCCGCGTCCATTGCCCATACTACCGGCGCCACAATGCAGGAGGCCGGCAGTATGGGAATGTTGTCTCTGGGCCTCTCCTCTGTGTCATACAGGCGGGACAGCGCATCTGCCTTCACGTTCTTCGTACCTGGTGTGTATGATAGAGTGAAATCAAACCGGGTGAAGAATAGGGCCCACCTGGCCTGGCGAGGATTCAGCCTCCTCGCTGCCCGGATGTACTCCAGGTTACGGTGGTCCGTCCAGACGAGGAAAGGGTGTTTTGCCCCTTTCGAACCAATGCTTCCACACGGTCAAGGCTAACAACAGCCAACAGCTCCCGATCTCCAATGCCATAGTTCTGCTCCGCCGGGCTGAGATTTTTCGAAAAGAACGCACAGGGGCGGAGCTTGGGTGGCGTACCCGAGCGTTGAGACAGGACAGCTCCTATCCCAACCTCGGACGCATCCACCTCCACTACGAACGGTAGTGATGGATCGGGGTGGGCCAGTACCGGGGCCGAGGTGAACGGGACGGCCCAGCCTTCAACAGAGATGTAATGGGAGCTGCGACCTTGCCAAAGCCCCGGATAAACCTCAGATAATAGTTGGCGAAGCCAAGGAAGCGCTGCACCTCCTTTACCGTGGTTGGAGTCAGCCAATTACGCACGGCTGCAATGCGGTCGCCCTCCATCTCCACACCTGTGGTAGAAATGTGGTATCCGAGGAAGGAGACGGACTGCTGGAAAAACGTACACTTTTCTGCCTTAGCATAAAGGTCATTTTGGAACAGTCGGGCCAGCACTTTGCGAACCAGGGACACATGCTCGGCGCGTAGCGGAATACACCAAGATGTCGTCGATGTAGACCACTACACCGCGACCAAGCATGTCCCGAAACACCTCATTCACAAAGGACTGGAAGACTGAGAGAGCATTCATCAAACCATAGGGCATCACCAGGTATTCATAATACCCCGTGGTTGTGCTGAATGCTGTCTTCCACTCATCTCCCTCTCGGATACGCACCAGGTTGTACGCACTCCTGAGATCTAATTTAGTGAAGAAGCGCGCTCCATGCAATGACTCAACCACTGACGGAATGAGGGGGAGAGGACAACTAAATCTAATCGTCTCCTTGTTCAGTAGTCGATAGTGAATGCACGGACGCAGACCGCCGTCTTTCTTCTTCACAAAAAATTAACTTGAGGAGGCAGGTGAAGTGGAGGGACGTATGTACCCCTGGTGCAGGGACTCGGTGATGTATGTCTCCATGCCTCCGTCTCCGCCTGCGACAGGGGATACACATGACTCCTGGGAGGTACAGTGTCTACCCGAAGGTTTATTGTGCAATCCCCCGCCCGATGAGGTGGTAATTTAGTCGCTTTATATTTAGAGAAGACTTGTGCCAGATCATGGTATTCTGGGGGAATGTGCACGGTGGAGGCACCGTCTGGACTTTCCACCGTGGTTGCACCAACGGAAACACCCATACACCTACCCTGACACTTTCGCGACCACCCCGTGAGAACCCTCTGCGGCCATGAGAAAGTGGGGTTGTGGAGTGCTAGCCATGGAATACCTAACACCACAGGGAAAGCAGGAGACTCAATGATGGAAAAAGTGACCTGCTCACAATGCGTCTCCTGTGTCATCATGGTGACTGGTACCGTGACTTCCTTTATCAACCCGGACCCTAATGGTCGACTATCAAGT